AACCCCCCGAACCCCCCAAACTACGGGCCTGTTTATTAACTAATAACTTGTACGTTGAATGTCCGGTGTATTTGTATTTATTAACTAATAACTCTACGTTGCACGTAAGGTGTATTTGTATTTATTGACTAATAACTTGTACGGTGTATTTGTATTTATTAACTAATAACTCAGTGTTGTAGGTAAGGTGTATTTGTATATAACGTTGGCAAAAACAAAATGGCGCAACGAACAATTACGCATGCCAGTGCATGACGTGTACGTGAACAGATCGTTGTTTGGATGTGTTTGCGCTTATTTGGCGAGTTAGTAGTGGGCTAACCTTAAATCTGACGAATCGACTTGTGGGACGAATCGACTTTGGGACGAATCAACTTGTGGGACGAATCGACTTTGGGACGAATCAACTTGTGGGACGAATCGACTTTGGGACGAATTAACTTGTGGGACGAATCGACTTTGGGACAAATCAACTTGTGGGACGAATCGACTTTGGGACGAATCAACTTGTGGGACGAATCGACTTTGGGACGAATTAACTTGTGGGACGAATCGACTTGGGACGAATCAACTTGTGGGACGAATCGACTTGGGACGAGTCAACTTGTGGGACGAATTGACCGCCCCCCTAGTAATCAGCGCATGCTTACATAAATGAAAAAGATGTGTCCGTTGCCAAAATAAGTCACATTTTAATGATCCAGTATAGAAAAATGCAATTTTTAGTCTGTGTGTGCTTCTATCAGAGATGTTATTCTAATGCCTGCCAGGCCCTGCCACGCACCTTTTGATCCGATTAACCTACAACTGGCTTACACCTGGATCATATAGTCTGATGGTAAGGTGTGCAGATGTTGACGACCGAGAGTTTCCACTCACCGACTCAGTGATAATGATTCAACTGTTGAATCTTTACGACTGCTCATCACCCAGTTACCAACTGTAATCTTTGTCTTGTGATATGCCCAGTCGCCGACTATCAATAAGTGACCAATATTTGTTTATATTTATCACATGTTCTCTAATCTGATTGTTGAAAAACATAGCGAAACGATTTTGTTGTTGGTGGAAGATGATTGATTATGCAATTATAGAAAGGTATCTCAAAGTACTCATCTGAATATACTTGATATCATTAATGTGTTCTCAATATCAGGCCTAATTCAGGTTAGGTACGTGACCGTTTGAAATCATGAACATTTGCTGAAATAAAACATTTGCAAGCAATCTCCAAAACCAAATGTGGAACCTATATTCAATTTACAGATAGAAGGCAGATAAACATGGACGAAACTTTATGTGCATATAACAATAAAGTGCCAGTCATGAATGAATCATATGCATTCATAGCGTGCTGAGGTATAAGCATTCTGACTGAAAAATTGGGTCGCAGAATAATCATAACAGAATTGGCAAGTGTGCACCCACCAATGCATAACACAGATCAAAGATTTCACTAGGTTCTACAGTGACAGTAGAAAATAGAAGATCAAAATGTGACATTTTTCTATGGGTTGCAAGTTTTAAAATGCAAAGTAGCTGACTGAACAAGCCGAGTCAACAGTTATTTAGCCGACAACTGCCTCTTAATGAAAGTCCTTCAGAAACAAAGATGCTTAGAATTCCTAGTGAGTAGGATGAACAAATCTGTTGTACATCTGTATTATGGTGATTGGGTTGGTTCTGTGTCCATAATAGCAGTACTGTATTTTTTCTATTAGTAGTGCATACACGATTGTAAGGTATGTCTGTCATCATAAGTCATAGTTTAATGATCCAGGATAAATAAATTCTAATTAGTTTACATGTGCTTTTATTCTGCTAGAGCATAATTTGTAATTTATTTAATTGACAAAAGCTATGTCATTATAGTACAAGCCTCGAAATTAACATCGTCCCGACGGCCCGAGGCACTAAAAATTTAGGCCGGGACCACTAGAAATTCACTTTGGGACCTTTTTGGGGACGATAGAAAAATAACCAACATCGTAATATAAACCCATCATACGTTTGTCAGGCGTGTGACCCAGCTGTCGGCTCCCAAAAAGCCCCCGAATTTGATCTGTGATTGTGCAATTACAGTGGCCTGTATTCAAGAGTATGTTTATTTTGACTAGCGTGAATGGGTAAGCTTCGTTTCGACAATGAGCTGTTATCACTGTAAACAATCTCAAATGCTCAGTTTATCTCTTGAAAACAACTTTTTTGATTCAAAAAAATAATCATGCCGTTTTTCCATCAAAATCCAAGCCAAAAGATCATACTACAACATCGGCAAATCTCTTTCGCGTTGTGTTCAATAACATTAACACATTTAAATGAGCTATGGTAATTTGAACACGTTGACATCATCCAGCATTTTGATTGGTTAATTAGCGAATCCTTCTATAAATTCGACCCCTCTATTGATTGGTCCACTTAATTTTGTCTCCAAAAAAATTTTTGTTTTTCCTCTTTTAGTTCGTCCACTCACAGGAAAGGGGCATTCAAATTGCTATCATCCCAGCAAATGTTTCTCGCAATGAATAACAATAAAACAAGTTTACTATGTTTGTCTTCCAGTGCATTATTCTCTCACTTCACCCCTCTTTTACCCACAAAGAAACAATGAAGTCTTCCAGACGTAGCGTTGACAGTGTGAGCTTTGATAAACCCAAGTGCGTCTTTGTGGAGGTCAAACTGGTGTCATATGCTAATCACTTTCACTGTTGCGTGCAGCGAGATTTATGATTGCCGGCAATTTAGACAAAAACTAAATTAATGTAAATGAACTAGTAACCACAATTTTCCTACCACTGGGCCTATAATAATTTGATAGCGGCACACTAACATCTTGTAAAACAATCATGTAACGTAATCAATCATTCAGCTTGTCGTCCGGCGAAAGGCATTTATTGTTTACTACCAATATGCTAATGAAGAAATAAGTGGATACGTTTATTTTAAACATGCTAATGAGGAAACGCATTTGAACTGAGACAGTGCGTCTTTGGAAGTCAAACTTGTGTTGTCTGCCTCTATAACTCGACAACTCATATACCTTTGATAATTCGACCACTCAAAAAAAAAAAAAATTCTGTTTTTCTTCTAATAAATCGGCTACTCTCAAAAATAATTATTTTTTCATGGTCGAATTGATAGAAGGATTACGGGGTATTAGGTCAACTCTGCAAGAGAAAGAATATGGCGGATACTTGACAACATCAAGCGTTTATATGTGACCGGAATCATTTACACTGGGTGACATTGTAATGAAATTTTAGGCGGTCTACTTTTTAATACAGCTATCAAATTTTAGATTAGCTTCTGCAATAGTTTATTTCGTCTTGGGTGGCCCAACTGCCAGCGTTTTTTCGGACGGGCGAATTTCTGGCAGAATCCGGTATTACTGGTAGTGTATGATTTCTTCATGAATCTGGTTATCCTACAACAAGGCCACTTTGGTCCAAACATTGTAGGTTGTGAACAAGTAGTTTCAAACTTTCAGAGATCTGTGTCATTTTGTTATGTAAAATAATAAATCAGACAAGATACATTTGAATCTGTGTTGATTTTGAGTTTATTGTAACTGACGATTAGTTTATACAAAAATACTGTACTTTGATTCAACTTTATCGTTGTTGTAATACATACTTCCTATAACCTGGTTGGGACCTTCCATCCCCACATTGGGACCATTGGAATTTATATTTGGGAACACTTCTGGGACAATAGGGATAAAAGTTAATTTCGAGGCCTGATAGTATAATTCTCTATTTAGATGTAAATACTGCCACAACTTATATAATGGCTGCAAGTACAAGATTTGACATTTCCTGGTCTCCAATCAATCCCGATAAATTCTTAACATTTGGAGTTGATATCAGTTTGTACAGAGTTGAGAATATAACTGAAGATAAAGTCAGCAAATCACAAGGACAGGCTATTTCTGATGGGAAGTGTGCCAACTTAATAGCAGTCAACAATGATCACCAGTATAACATGAAGGTAAGAAATTCAATAGTGTAACCATGCATTTATATACTAGTATCAACCTAGCTGGGCTTTCACAAAGCATAAAATAGGCTTAGCCATGGTGGTTAATTATTTTTCGCCGCCTCTTCCCAACTTTGTTGGACACTACGCAAGCAAGGAGAATATGCCTTTATTAAAAAAGTGTTGGTCTAAGTTATCAGAGATTATTGCTACGTTTACACGGCAGCATTCTATCAGAGCCAAGCTATTGCTCCTCCCACTGATTAACAGGAGATTATCTCCAATGCGTTTATATGGTAGTATTAAAACAGCATGATTGAAAACGGTTTTGATGTCGTTCTTGTGTTGTTGTTTCTTCACATGGCACGATGCATGTCAAAGCGACAGAAAATGTCAATGCAGAATTATGAATATACTGTTCTTGAGAAACAGGTACGCTCCAAAAAGACAAGCAAGGATACAGCTAATGATTATTGCTCAATGCCACTGTCGAAGAGTTCTTATTTTTGCAATCATGGGTACTACTGTTAGTTCATCTACAGTTGTCCGCACAGTATATACGCAATATACGCATAGTAGTCATTGGTGGAACAAGATAGTTTTGCGTATATGGAATAATTTTGGCCCGATTCTTGGGACCCAATGCATTTACACGGTCAGAGCCATGTCGGGCCCAATCCTATCAGAGCTCCACGCAGTGGGTTTGTTGGAGGCGATTTGGCTCAAGTCGAATGTGCATACATGGCCATTTTTGCTGGCTCGAGCCGTAGGGCTCCAATAAAATGCTGTCTAGTAAACAATGAGATTCTAATTAATCTCTATATGCTTTGTTTACTTTTTCTTCAGACACTAACTTGGTTAGTTTCTAACTGCATCTTATACATTTCATAATGGAAATTGTTTTCTCAGGATTCTTCTTGTCTGGATGAACACCCAATCAAACAAGGATATACTCAAACAAACTAGATTATTCTACTCACAGTTACTGATTGGACTGACTCTCTACTCGTGTACATATATTTTGTAACACAGTTACTGATTGGACCAACTCTACTTATGTAGTTTGTAACACAGTTCCTGATTGGACATACTCCCTAATCATGTACTTTGTAACACAGTATCTGATTGGACTGACTCTCTACTCATGTACATATATTTTGTAACACAGTTACTGATTGGACCAACCTTACTTATGTAGTTTGTAACACAGTTCCTGATTGGACATACTCTCTAATCATGTACTTTGTAACACAGTATCTGATTGGACTGACTTTCTACTCATGTACATGTAGTTTGTAACACAGTTCCTGATTGGACATACTCTCTAATCATGTACTTTGTAACACAGTATCTGATTGGACTGACTCTCTACTCATGTACATATATTTTGTAACACAGTTACTGATTGGACCAACTCTACTTATGTAATTTGTAATACAGTTCCTGATTGGACATACTCTCTAATCATGTACTTTGTAACACAGTATCTGATTGGACTGACTCTCTACTCATGTACATATATTTTGTAACACAGTTACTGATTGGACCAACTCTACTTATGTAGTTTGTAACACAGTTCCTGATTGGACATACTCTCTAATCATGTACTTTGTAACACAGTATCTGAATGGACTGACTCTCTACTCATGTACATATATTTTGTAACACAGTTACTGATTGGACCAACTCTACTTATGTAATTTGTAATACAGTTCCTGATTGGACATACTCTCTAATCATGTACTTTGTAACACAGTATCTGATTGGACTAACTTTCTACTCATGTACATATATTTTGCAACACAGTTACTGATTGGACCAACTCTACTTATGTAGTTTGTAACACAGTTCCTGATTGGACATACTCTCTAATCAGGTACTTTGTAACACAGTATCTGATTGGACTGACTTTCTACTCATGTACATATATTTTGTAACACAGTTACTGATTGGACCAACTCTACTTATGTAGTTTGTAACACAGTTACTGATTGGACCAACTCTACTTATGTAGTTTGTAATACAGTTCCTGATTGGACATACTCTCTAATCATGTACTTTGTAACACAGTATCTGATTGGACTGACTCTCTACTCATGTACATATATTTTGTAACACAGTTACTGATTGGACCAACTCTACTTATGTAATTTGTAATACAGTTCCTGATTGGACTGACTCTCTACTCATGTACTTTGTAACACAGTATCTGATTGGACTGACTCTCTACTCATGTACATGTAGTTTGTAACACAGTTACTGATTGGACCAACTCTACTTATGTAATTTGTAATACAGTTCCTGATTGGACATACTCTCTAATCATGTACTTTGTAACACAGTATCTGATTGGACTGACTCTCTACTCATGTACATATATTTTGTAACACAGTTACTGATTGGACCAACTCTACTTATGTAATTTGTAATACAGTTCCTGATTGGACATACTCTCTAATCATGTACTTTGTAACACAGTATCTGATTGGACTTTCTACTCATGTACATGTAGTTTGTAACACAGTTACTGATTGGACCAACTCTACTTATGTAATTTGTAACACAGTTCCTGATTGGACATACTCTCTAATCATGTACTTTGTAACACAGTATCTGATTGGACTGACTTTCTACTCATGTACATGTAGTTTGTAACACAGTTACTGATTGGACCAACTCTACTTATGTAGTTTGTAATATAGTTCCTGATTGGACATACTCTCTAATCATGTACTTTGTAACACAGTATCTGATTGGACTGACTTTCTACTCATGTACATGTAGTTTGTAACACAGTTCCTGATTGGACAGACTCTACGTACGTACTTTGTTACACAATTACTGATTGGACTGACTCTACCTTTTATTAACAAATTTCATAACATTGTTTGTTTTCTCACTACAGTGTGTGTCATGGTATCCTAAACCTGAACCTGATAACTTACTAGCTATTGGTCTAAACCATGGAAAGGTTATTCTGACAAGCTTTGGCCAAGAAAGTGATCCACAGGGCTTGATTGGTAAAGTGTTTGTACCAAAACATGCTAGAACATGCCATACTTTATCTTGGAATCCAATTGATTCAAACTTTGTGAGTACTAACCTTTGATAAGTGAAACAACAGATATTGCATTTTTCATGGTTTTGATGTTTGTACTTCAAGAGGATATGCAGAAATATGAAATATGAAATTTGTGGCTGGTTCATGTGAATTTTTAGTGTGGGGAGGGTGAGTAGATTGCTACTTCTCTCACTTCATTATCATCCATTCATGTATAAATACGAATTACTGTTTTCTTGGTTGTTTTCACAGTTAGCAGCAGCTTTTGGAGAGAAGTCCAGATATGATCCATCTATATTGATATGGGATATCAATGCAAAACCAGGTAAGAACTAGTCGATTTGAAATCCTGGGTCCAGGATGGACCATTTATCATGTGTCTGGTCTGTGCCATTTGAAATCTTGTGTCTGGATTAGGTCATAAATCCTGGGAGTGATCCAGGCCATTTAAATGCCTGGGTCTGGTCTGTATCTTTTAAAATCCTGAGTAAAGGCTAAGCCAATATAAATCTTTTGGGGAGACAGGTAGCCTGAAAAGATGATAAAACATGTTTTTGACAACAGTAGCACCAAATTTAGATGTATGATTCCTTGACCCGAATCTCCATCATCACAAAAAAAGTGATCTTTCTTATCTTAATTCTGTCTACTTTTTTTTTTTATACTTGTCAGCTGTTGAATTGAGCTCTACTCCAGAAAGAACAAGAACGTTTCCTACCAATATTGATAGTTCATCGTCAGTTACTAAACCAGTTGCTGAGTTTGGTAAGATAACTATTGACTGATATTCTATTGATCAGACTGAATTTTCCAAGTTAATGTGTTGATACAACATAACATGTTTTACAACAAATACTGTCTACTGTATTTACTCCATCAGAAGAACATCTTCAATAGAATTGCACATGAACCAAATATTGTGTGTATTATATGCTGGATCTTTGGAATATTTTAACTACTGTAAAATACTTTATTTTAGCTGGAATTAATTTTCGATAAAAAGACATTTTGGGTGCTTTTACAAGTTTAATGTAAAATATAAGAAAAAAGGTATATTCGCTGGATTTTATTTTCACTGAATCATTCTTTCAGTGAAAATAACGAAAATTAATTCCAAGCGAAAATAAAGAATTTTACAGTATATACTTCTGTCATTTATGTAAGCACATGTCCTACTAGTAAAACAAATACATAGATTCTATAGAAGAATCTGTTTTCCACAAGTATTACGTAGCTTTAACTAATAACTCTGAGGTGTCTCACCGCGAAAACATCTTGTGGCATTTTGAGCCTGCCTCATTCATAGACTTCAGCCCATCTTCCACTGAAGGCACTGTAACTTCAGAACACTATCAATATCAAGAAGTCAAAAATATAACTTTTTACGAAAAAAATATTCACCAAAATTAAAGCATTGAAGATATCATCACGAAATGAATAAATCTGAGAGAGGTCCACATGAGTACCTATATATGTAATATCAAAGCAATCGGACTTGTGGTTTTTAACAAGAAGTAGAAAATATCACTTTTTACCAAAAATATTCATCAAAATTAGAGAATTGAAGATATCATCATGAAATTAACAAATACGAGAGAGGTCTACCTGTAGTATCTATATATATGATATCAAAACATGCAGACTTGCAGTTTTCAACAAGAAGTCAAAAATATCACTTTTTACCAAATATGTTTTTATTTGACAGGTGCATCTGAGACTACCATGTCATTAGCGTGGTCATATCATGAACAACAGACCTTGATAGCGGGAATGAATAATAAACATTTGAGGCTCTATGACTTAAGAGGTAAAACCTGATGATTTATATTTCTTTTATTTTATGTATCCCAGATTAGACACATTGTCACCCTTTCATGTTTACTGAAATTAAATTAATTCACATGTAATGTATATTGATAAAATTTCAAGACACTAACTATCGATGGGTACGGTGCAACTTACAGATACTTTTTATAATTTGCAAAATTATATTTATTCTGTTGGCATCAAATCTATCTATGTCAATGCATTGTAAGTGTGATGTCTGTAGTCAATCGCATTATCACAATTTCTAACATTTTCGTTCATGCTTTTATTGATGGCTATATTGTTAGCACTGCCAGATGTATACTTTGATATCTGTGTAGGGTGATATGCAATGAAATCTTGCAAGTTCTATGCTTAGAAAAGTTTGATTATGTGTACGAAAGTGAGGAAAAATATTGCTATATTCCAAAAAACAAAATACATATAAGACATGCTATGCAAATAAGCAGGAACACAAGCAAAAAATATTTTGATGAACACTAAACAATTCCCTGACACACTTACTGAATTGCATAGTATTTGTAGAATGGTACATGTGGGCCTGTCTTGTAATTTTCTGTTTATCTTGTATTTCATCTGGTTCGTATTGTGATCACTTATTGTTCCAGTTGCATACCCTTATAAATCCTTTTACTTGATTATTAACTGTTTATATCTTGCAGACAGTACTCGTCCAGTTAAAGCCACCGTCACTAAAGCGGTGTATGGTATAACACCTGATCCCCATACGAATAATAGACTTGCATCATACTGCGATGGTCAAGTCTCTATCTGGGATCTTAGAAACTTTGATAAACCAATATCCTTTTATTGTGTGCACTAATGGCTATCATGAATGATATTTTGTAGAAGTTTCTTTCAAAGTAAGAATTTCTGATAAAGGGAAATGAGAAAAAATCTTAAATAATTGTCAAACACTGGAGAGTTTAGGTCAGCAATTTAACACCATGCTGGTAGTCAGCATTTTGTTTTGTGTGATAATTTGTTTCTTCTCCGGGGGCTATTATCAGTTAAATGGGAAGTCTGGGCAAACAATACAATGCTCCCAGATGAAGGTGCTCCACAAATGCAGGAGAATGCAATTTACAGTTAGTTTATATCAATTTTCCTTCTCTAGATATTTAACTTTTCAATAAAGTATTACTAGTATGTACTGGGGTAGTCCGCCACCTTGATTCTCTAGCGAAGGACTATGGGTAAAGTGTGACATCATATCCACTGTTGTGAAAAATTGAGACCAATATTTCAAAAAAATAATACAGTTTAAAATCTTGTAATCCAATGACTTGTTATTTTCTACAATATAATGGTGTAACCATATTCTAGATAGTATGTCCTTAACGGATTCTTACATTATTACTCTGTCAAGTGAAAAACATAATAACACATGTATTAGTAAACTATCATGGTGTCCAACTAGATTGGGATTGCTTGCCGTCTTACCCAAAGACAACCCCATTATCAAATTGTATGACATACAACATGCAACATTCAGTAAGTATACATCAATAATTTTATACTGACTTTGTGCATTGTTTTTGGTGTCAACTATTCTTGTAGGTTCAAAAAACGTAAAGCAATTTTCTTCCACTGAAATTTTCAGATTTTGATCTGTTTTATTTTGAGGAAATGTACGTGTTTATAGATAATCATTGATATTATTAGGTTATCCGAAGAATAGTGCATAATATGCATAAAATTATCAACTGGCACGTAGTGGAGGTTGCTGCAATCCTGTACAGCCTGTGTACATACTTTGCAGTATCCTTGTGATGATCTTATTATTATACATCTTTTCTCTGTTTGTAGTAATAATTTGATAAAAGATAAAAATGACACATAGCGATTCTTTGTCGAATGTAAACAAAGGATCAATGAATCTAGAACATGTCAATGCTGGTGACGTAGTTCACCCCCCATATAAGGAAAAATTTCAATGATGAAATGAGTAATATGCACTTATCGGTATAATTACAGGTGGTGATGACGTAGAACCGACTATTATAGAAAGAACTGTACAACGTAAGTAAACATAGAAATTGACGATGAATATTTATCTCTAGTTATTGGTACACATTCATTTTTTTTAAGAAGTAAAAC